CTGCATTGGCTCTAAATACATCGTCTGCGTACACAGACACTTTCCTGGAATTTGTTTGATGATCACTCGTGTATGTCTTTCCTGAAACCGTGATCCTTACATGATGACAAATTCATTGAGAGTGTGGAATCACTAGCGAGTAGGTCACTTAATTGACAGCACCTGAAACAATGAAACAACACATGTTCAGTGATGATCAGAAGAGTGTATGTTTCTGGTCTTTTCAGAGCACAAAACTTCTTCAAGAGAATATCTCACTTCCATTAATACCTTCCCTAACCAGTTTTGTCCTTTCCAGATTGATACATCTAAATGTTAAGGGTCATGGAGAGAGAGTCCAACACCTAAAGTCCAAGGACTTGCTTCGGCCATTACGTTTGGATAAGTATATAACAAGACATCTCGGAGATAGGTAGACTGAGATGACCTAACTAAAGTCATCTTTCTCTCAATGGAGTAAAAGGGGCAGTGTTCCACCCTTGTTGGTTCACACTGATTCCCAACCTTTTCTGCTCAACAGGTGATACTGACTGTAATTTTTTTCTGTGCGATTTCAATGTCATAAAACATGATAGCCTTCATGTACATGTAATATAATTAAACGTTTTGTCATCAAGTACTATCAAAGCAGGATAATGTTGACTAAATGGAGATGACGTTGTGTAAACAAATACGGACTGTTCTGTTGGTAACCTGTCTTTTTCCTGTGCTGGCAAGAATGGTTTTCCTTGGGTCAATGTTTTAACCTGATGATTCACTGCACAGTCATTGGTCGAAACCTGGTATGCAAATGACACAATGTCATCACCATCCTTCTAACGTTGCTCATCCCAGCACAGTAGGTGACTAAAATGTGTGCTCTAGAATGTGAGCTGAGGGTTGGAATGTACTCTGACATACTAGTGTTCATTGTTTAGGAACAAATGTTCCCTCGGATGACTCACGGACTCTGGAAGGTCATTGTACTCTATAAGATAGTGGAGTGGAATGGATTCGAGGCGGTTACTTGAAGGAATGCAAGGAATCCTTTTGTTCTTAGGATTTTTTTTTGTTCTTCTCAAGAATAATTGGTATTCTTTTGTCTGTGTGGTAGAATGCAATTTTCTCCTACTAATATGCACAAAATAGTGCATATAACTATGTGCATTCCCTTGCATTGTTTTTCTTGAAACAATTCTGCTATGATATTTGATAATAAAACTATGAGGATTTCATAAACGACTTGATCATTTGTTTACGAATTTGAAAGACAAATAAGTCAAAAAGTCTTGGCGTCAAAAGATAGGAGGATGTCCCTTACCAAATTCCATACTTTTCCGCTGAACAGCACGACCTGGTGAAGCAGCAATGTGTAGTTCGTAACTTTAGAGGGGATTCACAAGAAGTTGAACTGATCAAGTGCAATGAGGATCTGGCTGATTTGTGTCGGCGTGTAACGACTTGGTTGGGCCCCGATTGAAGCGGACATAAAATTACTTACGTCTCACAATAAAGGGTTTTTGTGTTTATTTGCATATTTCAGAAAATAGCAAAGATGTCTTCGGGCATTTCCATTTTTGTGTTGCTAACAATATACTAAATTGTGTTCCTTTTAATCAGTTATGTACACAAAGTGTAATAGAAGATGTCTTACATCATTATGTAAATGATAAAAGCAACAACATTTATCTAATTCAAGCTAAAAATGATTGTAAATAATTAATTTAAATATAGGAAGAAAATGCTTGCCAGTACAATATTATACAAGCGTTACGGTCAAATAATCAGCAAGTTTAAGCAATATTTAATCTACCTCCAAATACCTCTATATTGATCTCTGATAACTCCTCATTATGCTATGCTATGTATCTTTGAGTGAAAGTTCTATTCTGACAACATTATCACAATACATTCTGGTCTGCAGGTCCTCACGTCTGGGTCATTTGTAATGTGACGGAAACATGTTTACAAGTATACTCATGTCAATAATGGTTGTCACCCCCTTCAATTTTTTTAATTGGAGAGGGGGTGTGGGGTGTGTGTGTGTAGGGTTGAGGTGGGGAGGGGGGTGACAACCATTATTAGCATGAGTATATATTAAACCACCCCGCGGTTACTTGTTATATACACCTGGGAAAAAGTATCCAAACTCCTATGATTTTAACACCGATATAACCAATTACATTCATATCTGCATTAAGTTTGTTTGTATGATTTTTTCGAGCGCACCATACACTGACTTTAGAATTTTGCGTGCTCCGATCGAAGGCAAGCATCACGGGCAATAGGTGTACCCGTCATTAACCAAATATAGTTTCAGTAAACTGTTCTTATATTCAGTAAACTGTCCTTCAAGTCAACAGAGGAATAATCCCCACCCTAGCCAGAAGAGAAAGAACATCAGCTCGACATCCCAGGCACTTGAAGCCGAGTTAGAACACCTTCGTCATGTCTTCATAAACCCTAATCAGCATGAACCCAACCTAGTCAACAAAACCATCAAGGCCACCCTCAACCCAAGAGACAAACCACCAGGTCAGCAATCAGCACCATTCATCATCAGCATACCATGCATCGATACTACCAGCCATCATATTCGCAGATTACTAAAGAAACAAGCCATCATAGATGTGGTGTTCTAAATAGGCACATCAATTCAACATATTCTACAAGCCAACGGTAAACCAGCTACAAGCATCAAAGAAGACACATTACATGCGAACTGTGGTGACTCGTACATGTATGAAAAGTCCCGCCCCCTAATCATGAGAAACAAGGAACATCAGCCATCTGTGAAGAAAACGCCATTTCCGACCAAGCCCATCCGTACCATACCATCCTTTGGGACAACTACAAGATAAGAAAACTTTTAGAGGCTATCAACATCAACGACTCAACCTGACAATCAACAGAGATCAAGGTTATTACATCCCTACAGTTTGCCATCATCTAGGCCAATCAAGACTGACCCTTCCCTACCCTTTGTCCATCTGGCTTCAGTCAATATATGTGTCACAACAACCATCAGTACATCAACCTCTTCAACTGTATATACTCAAATACCCGTCATGTATATATTCTCTTTGTGCACAAGGTTGTGTGTCAATTGCTTGGTAAGGGTGTTAGCATCTGCCCTGAAACGTCGCATCCATTACAATTAAGAAGTTAACTGTTCTTATAGCTCGATAACTTGGGAAATGATAACTGCTCAAAGATGGCAAGATATTGGTATGCAGAATACTGTCATGTCATTGTGGGCTATTTGCTGCCATATTGCTGGAATATTGCTGACCAATGAAGAATAAATAAATGTAAATATATGCTGATAGCCAGCATGTAATTGATGGTTATTGCAAGAGATGTTGGTTGTTATCCAGCGACTATCAGTCGATTGGCCAGAAAACATCAGCAAACTAAAGACGTTAAAGACCAGTGTTCAGTTCCTAGTGGGGAGGATACAGCCCCATATAATTTATATCCCTGCATATCTATCTTCAGAGGTTTATAACGATTTGTCAAAAATGAAAGCAAATGTCATTTGAAGTTTTCTGAGTGAACAGTATGTGAAATGCTGGACTTCTTCACTGATAACTAGGGCTGTAACGATGCATCGAACTATCAATGGATTGCAATTGTTGAGTCTCTGATAGCAATTAATCGATGGTAGAAGCGAAAAACTATCGATGCATCGATAAAATGTGTGGCTATAGATAGTTTAGTAATATAATTCCGTTGATAAATGCGCAGAGCAAAATACAGGAAGTACTAGATTTGTTCACTCTGATTTAGAGTTATCCGCCCCCTGTTACCTCTTAAACAAACATGACTGTTTACTTGATCTGGGTTTCAGGTTTCTTATCAGTTATTAAAAGATACAAAAAACTACATCAACTTGTTTTTATTTCATATAAACTAAAGTTGTATACATTCCTTTGGGAAATGACTTATCAAATGAGATAATTCAAGGAGATAAAGACTATTGCAACAGTATTGCAATAGCTAGTCGCAATAGACTATCGCTATCGCAATAGTATTTCGCAATAGACTATCGCTATCGCAATAGTTGTTTTCCCCCTCAATGGTCATCCCTACAGATAACATATTTGTAGGAAGAAGTAGGCACCCCTATGTTCACCAGTTGTGCTCCCCTCCTTGTGGATCTGTTTCCTTATGCATTTGAATTAAACTTTCTGCTGGGGTTGGCAAAATAAAATCAAGTTAATTTGGCCAAGAACTTTTAACTTATGCTTCAGGTTTATCGATTATCTGATATCGTTCAATAACCATCAACTAGCCAGTTCCCTTTCACTGATTTACCCACATGAAGTTGAAATTAAGGAAACAAGCGACACCGCCTCAACTGTTTCATATTTAGATCTATGCATAAAGATTCAGCATGACACAAATCTCTCCAGAAAGTTGTATGACGAAATGGTTTATTTCATCTTTCCCATTCTCAACTTCCCTTCATTTCAATCAATATTCGAACCTGGCTTTACATTTCACAACATTTTATCTTTTTATCAAGATTTAAAGGGGGTAAGTGCAGTAGTTGGAACAGTGAAACAAATGCACGTGCGGTACGTGATGAGCGTTAACTTAGACCAACCCTACTTGTTCTCGGTGTTTCAATTAATGTGCATACCCCTTTGTAATACAAACCAATAATAGCGATTTGAAAGTATGATCGTTTGTTAAACAACTTTTATCCTAAGTTGAATAAAATACTGAGATTTAAATATTCAATTGGCAAGGTAAAATTATGAGGATTCGCAATCTTAATTTTAACTTTATTTGATTTACTTTTTTGTTTGTTTAACTCTTTCAAAACCAGTCAAACAGAGGCATTTACTGCCATGACACCGAGTTCCCAGAGACTCTGAGGTCAGAGATGAAGCCTGTGTTTATGAAGGAAATTATAAGCTTGTAAAACGTTATTGCTACTACATCCCATACACCATTTAAAAGATCTAATCCTACTGTTGATAAATATGAAGTTTATTTTTATAATATTATTCAAATAATACAACTACAACTTAAATAAAATTATTTTTGACTGAAAATGCAAGCTTACATTTATAACCTCCAGATAAACCTCGAAAGAAGCAAAAACTATGGCGATTTTTTTCCATTTCTGACATGTCATAACATGTCCGTGCCTTTTTCTGTTATATTTTCATTTTTACGTAATCAGAAAATTATTATAAAAAGATTTCTTAAATAATATGTATGGTCGCCTATTTCCCGATATCTGTGGCTTTCCGCTCGGTAACATGACATAACAACGGAAAATACCTCCGTTTTCGAAGCTTAGTATGAAAAACATGGGAGGCGAATCGTTTGATGTCGGGTATCGTTCGAAAGCTCTGAACATCAACAACATCACTGAACCCTTGCCGAGAGTATTTTCACAGTTGTAAGAAGCGATTTTATTGGATAAAAATTGGTTTCTAATGACGCTTTTTTCGCTACAGTCTGCTATAAGGGTCGTGATTGGTCAAAATCAGACACGTGACATGAGGCAGCCAATCATATTACGGCAATGGATTCCGTCCTCGTAAACGAAAACTTTTAGATTTAGACGTAAGTTTTGGGTAAAATAACGCTATTTTGAACATATTAATCAAGAAATCGCTACCTATACGTAAATTATGGAACTTATTGGACGTATCGTGCTAGGTTATGACCTGTGACAAAAATGCTTCATGTATATATTTTCGCATTAAACATCGTGTCCGAGCGTGAAGATTGAGGCGGCGAGAGCCGAGATGTCAGTTGTCAGTGACATTACATGATCGCACGAAAAGATGGAAATAGTAATTTTATGTGTACGTTTGACAACGTTTATGAATGTTGTTGTTGATTTTATTCATTAGTTTATTCAATTTATTTAATGAATTCCTCGAAACATCGTTACTTTGCTCTTTGACAATGTTATTGTGGACCCGCTGCCGAAGCATGTGTCCGAGAATTGTTGTTTTCAATAACATTGCGAAAAATAGTTTATAATTTTAATTCTGCTGATAATATATGATAAATTGAAATTTAATAAGTGTTTTCAGACATTGTGAAATGTGATAGATTTAACATATGAATCATAAGTCAGGTAGGTTCCTAAAATTATGTCTGATTTTGACGTGACTACTGCCTGGCCGCTTAAGCGGCCTCCGGTGTCTGGGGACTCATAACGTTGTGGCCGCTTAAGCGGCCTGCGGTGTTGAATGGGTTAAAGTGAAATTCATCGGTACGTTTTCACTGCAAACAGACAATACACATTCGGGATAATTCTATTGACTGATTAATATTGGGTCCGAAGATGGTAACGGAAACGCTAATATCATACCCGCTGCATAGGCCGATCCAGGAATGTTCAGGGGGAGAGGTGGGTGGGTGTCGAACCCCCAGAACCCCCCTTGGCTCCACCAATGCAAAACATTAACGTGGGTCATTTTCAAAAGGGGGAGGGGGCGAACCCCCTGTACAAAACCCCCCTCCCCTTGGATCCCCCAATGCGCTTAACTTGTATTGATTGTCCCTAACGCGCATACAGTCAGATACAAATCAGTTTTCACTCATTTTCAAATGGGCGATAAAAGTGAGCACGTAGTTTTGCACGAGGTATGAATTGTTACATGGCAGTTATGAAGGGGTAGATGTGATGGTGAGACAGCCAAAACGTTGTTCTACATACAATCTTGGCATACTTGTCATGACTGCTGTTTAATTCGAAGTAATGGGTAACAAAAACGGCAATACTATACTCGCTGGAGTCTGTACTGAATATCCGTGGCACGCATGCAGAGAGATACAAATCACTTCAAGCATTGTTGTTAAACGAAATACAGCTCGAAGTCGTTCTGATCGGTTTATCAAAGAGGTCAAGTGGGGAATTTGTCAAAGCTTGTCAGAAATGCAGGGCCCTACTGCGTTCGTTGGTAGTGTGTGCGTGCATGCGTGCTTGCGTGTGTGTGTGTGTGTGTGCGTTAGTGTGTGTGCGTGCGTACGCGCGCGCATTAGCACCCGTCACAATAATTCTTATTCCAACTATAGACGCCGACTTGACAATATTAGTCTGGACCAGACAATCCAGTGATTGACAGTGTGACCAGCGATCAGCTCTACTGGGTTACGCTGACACGCTCACAAAATCATGGAGTGACAATGGGGACACATTCTACTACTCACACCCCCAGAAAATACTCGCATTCATGACAATCCGGCCATAGGTTATATAACACTTTTCATTGATAAGAAGAATGTTTCCACGTGATAGCACATTCAAACTGTAGATTTTGTCTCATTTATAACCCGGTTAGTTTTTTCCATGGCTATATTACTGCAGCGTCCATATCCTATATGTTCCTGTAGCTAGTAGATATACTTTCACCGTTATTTTTACTTACACCCAATGGAATCTGTTTTAGCAAATGATCGAGATTGGTTCTTCTCTGGTATTGATAGTTTATATATTTGTCCGACACTTATCTAAAAAGTACTGGCTTATCTAATGGCTGCATAGTTTTATGACTGTTTTTATTTTATAGAAATAACAACAAACACGTGGAGCAGTGTGTATTCCGACGATGTAGGTATTGGCAAGGCGACAACAAATATACTATTCAAAAAAGAAACGCATAACCCAGGAATCTATTGCGAAAATGTTGTATTTTTAAACATGTATAGCTCGTCCACAAATAGAGTTTAGTACATGAATTTGTACATCAGTTTAGAAGAAGGTAATGTCTATACAACCAAGTGGATAATTTTAGTTAACGGAAACGCTGAGCGCGATGGTGACGACGGTCCCGACGTCGGGTCTCCTGGCTCTCAGTCCAGTCTCTCTCAACCTGTTCCGTACCCTTTGACCAGAAGTCAAGGCACCCTGGCTGCTGTGTTCTCACCCGTGACAGTACGATCACGCGAACGTAGTACCCGGATGTACCGATCTTGGGCTGCTTTGGTGAATCTAGGTCTGCCTGTACGGGAATGGTCATTTGCTATTCCTGTTTGGTTGTAACGAGCTGCAGGCCGTGATATCGTGCTCAGACTAACATTCAGACGGCTGGCAACAGAACATTGATAATCTCCAGCGTGCATTCTTTCAATGGCGATATCGCAGCGCCAAGACATGTCGTAGTGATTTGACCTTGAAACATCTTCAAAGCGAATGTCGATTTCTGAAAGTAATCTGGATTTTTATAGCCAGACAGTGCATGCTCTTTGCTGCACAATTTCAACTGGAAGGTGATTTCTGTTGCGTTGTGGCGATGCCTTTTTAATCCTTGTAAGAAATCTCATCAAAATTAACATTTTCAGGTAACGTCAATTTTTCACTTATAGAATTGTGTAAAATCATGTTATCAACACTTTTGCTACATATTTTAAAGATTGTTTGAACACAATAGATAATTAATAGATTTTTAAAAATACAAAATGTCTATGCGTTTCTTTTTTGGGATAGTATAGATAGACGGTTTGTTTGTCATATCATATTAGTCTCTAAAGAAAAGAAAATCAGAGTAGTTTCTAATTCTTTTGTAATAACCAGGACGTTATATAGCATTACCTGCTATCCATAAAGTCATCTATCACGACTCCCGCTGACCCGTGCCTTGTTTCAGTTAGCTGGAACAACCTACCACCTTACATATGTTTGCAACGAAGTCTCAACTCAACCTGTATAATGTCATGTCATACAAACATAAATGGAACAACTAGCCGGATTCCTGCCAGTTCGAGTGCAAGTCTTACAGAATAATACATCAGAACATTATTCTGTGTGATTTTTCTTTCTGTTTTTATGTATGATAATTAAATAGAAACCTAAACTATGATTATCCTGTGTTGGGGCATATTATATCACTGAAATTGTTCTATGTATATAAAGGTGTAGCGCAGTGGTTAAAGTGTTCACTCGTCACGCCGAAGACATATCGCACATGGGTACTTGAAACCAATTTCTGGTGTCCCACGCGGTAATATTGCTGGACTATAAAAAAATACATAAATGCATACAAAAAACTGCATAAAACGAAACTCACTTACTCACTCTTGATGTAGAGGATTAAAATTAGACAAAAATAAGGCCATTTTAGATTTTCAATCGTGTGTATATCGCAGAAGCTTTGTGTCAAAAAACGGAAACCGGTTTTAAAGGGAAGAAATGATAACTGAAACACATAAACGATCATCACCTTATTTTTTAGGTTAGGGAAGAAGGGTAGGGTGTTCTTGAGAATATTAAAACTCACCGTACTTCATTCATACCATGCTTTAAAGGTAACAATTTTGACAATTATGCATCAGCGTATATTTGTGCTTTATGATATTTTAAGGGCGTTCATTTCTCTTCACGTGTGTTTGCAAAATGTCAGTACTGTCAGCTTAAAGAGGGAGGATAACCAAGATCAATATTGCGGTCTGATCATTATCTGACAGAATTCCGGATTCGAACCCCAACCCATATGTCTTGCATTTACGTTTTTGGTTTACGCTAACGCGGACTTGACAAGGGGAAATAACTATGCTACTTGACTATGCGTGCTACTAAGATATATATTGGAGCTGATGAAATGTTAACTATGCCTGCCTAACTTTACTTATCCGCAACACAAAGTGGTGTCGGATATCCCGAGAAATCTAAACACTTAAATAGAACGAGCAACAGAAACTAATTCAAAATATTTGAGTAATAAACATAAACCACTACTGAGGGCATATGTCGAGACACGCTTGCCACCCAACCCTTAGTATCGACAAAACTTGATTAGAATTACACATGACACTTTCCAGAGAAGCCACCACTGCTGCTTACGACATAAAAACAAAGATTGAAACCGCAGATATATTTGCGTTATCAATACGAAAGGCGATATATATGGTTGCAAAATCCAACAGTGCAACGAAGCATTGCTGTCGCATATGCATACTGAATGTCTGCAGTTCAAACCAATCATCGAGCAGCTTCACCTGGATCGAGGTGCTTTCCCGCTTCCTTGTTGCTCTCAGCCAATGAAAGGACTGCCCAGAACCCTGGACACTATTTATGAGCTAAATGAGACACCCACGGACACACTGGGCGACACTGCAGCAAACAACGCTCATCATTTCATCATAATGAGGGTGGAAGGAAAACATATCCTTGTCGTACTCCTGCTTTGCTTTTTTAGCTGAAACAGCTACTTCAGGTGAGCACAATATATAAATGTTTTTAATGTAATCGTCTCAAACATATATATTGGACACACACACTTTAGGATTATACTTTCTCAGCTAGTACAGATTCTAGGTCTTTGGTTGGGTTGAGTCCCATCCGGGAACCCACACTCTCAGAGTCAGGCACTTAATCGCCAAGAGACCTAATCCGGGCATTGCGTTGTCATGGTTTCCGGTCGATGGCGCCGTGTCAATTTACACTCATCAGAGGGGTACTCAAAGTCCGTGGTATAGGCTGTCAGTTGTGTTTTTTTGTGGAAGTGGCGGTGGCTGGGTAGGTTAGATGGTTTTGTGTGCTGGCGATTGAGTGCCTGACTCCGAGAGTGGCTGTTAAAATGCTGGGTGGGACCTGAACCAAACAAAGGTACTAGAATCTGTACTTTACTGAGAAAGTATAATCCCAAATATAACCTGAGTTATACACACACCACACCAATGATTCTTTCATTCTTCCATTCTTAATCTGTCAGATCATGAAAGAATCGATTGGGCTTTAACTTCCTTCGAGGTGTATATAAAGACATAATGAGTTTTAATTGACTTTTATTGAAATCGTATGCTTTTAAATCAATATTTGATATGAGTAAGAACTTTATATTGTTTTATTGTTTAAATATCTTGTCATCATGGACTATCAACCGAGTGTTGGACATTCTAGGGTCCTCTGACTGTGAGGTGGAATGCTGTAGAGGATGCGAAGAATCCTTCGTAGGAACAATAAGGTATATTTAAATACTCAATCGTATCTGTAAGAGAAAAATATGCTCTTTATTACTGTCCGCAGCTTTTGTACTTTTAAAAACTAAAACAATATAATGTGAAAAGCTTAAGTATTGAAATAAATTTGAATTATTGACGGTCATTTCTGTATAAAATAAATCAAATTAGTTGTCAAAGTAAAAAATGACATTGATGTCAAACAATTGCAAACATCTTTAAAATAATAGCATTGTCTTTATGTTCTTGCATTAAATAATCTCATTTTGTCACAGCAAGACACATGTGAACTACACCCAGCTGAGGAGCCGAGCCAGTAGCTACTACGTATCTTGTGGTTTCTGGGGGTGGGGCTCTTGCAAAAAATACCGGTAAGCGCGAGGAGTAAGCTCTTCTGACCTTTGCATTCAATACGTGTGCATAGCAACATCGAGCACACTCAAGTTATTCATATACTTCTTGTTTACAATCAATTATTTGATGTAAACCAGTATTAATATATGAAGTATATTTCTAACGGAGGAAACGAAATATTTCCAGGAAGAAACAGAAGTTTGAGGGTTGATAATTGACAGCCTTGCTGTATCCAAGGACTGAAAGGCTATTTGTGCTGAATGAACTTCAATATGTGAGTGAGTGAGTTTAGTGTTACACCGCTCTCAGGAAAATTCCAGCTACATGGCGGTGGTCTGTAAATAATCGAGTCAGATCAACAGCATGAGCATCGATCTACGCAATTGAGATGCGATGACATGTGTCAACCAAGTCAGCGAGCCTGACCAATTAGTCGCCTCTTACGACAAGCATGGGTTACTGAAGATCAAGTACCAATCCAACTAACCTGCAATCCCTGTATGGAAGTAATGTTGTATTGTGGTTTTTGTGTGGTTTTTGTGGTTGTTGTTGTTTTGTTGTTTGTTTGTTGTTGTTGTTTTGGGGTTTTTTTGGTTTTTTTGTTTGTTTGTTTGTTTGTTTGTGTGTTGTTGTTTTTTTTTGGGGGGGTGTTTGTTTGTTAAACGCCACACTCATCAATAAACCAGCTGTATGGATATATGGAATGTGTAGTCATGTATGTAAGACCTGCTTAGAACACGTTCAGTTCGTAGGACTAAGACACCGGGTTAAAGGTGCTTGGTTCTGCACCGATTATAGGGTAAGGTTTTACACGGGTCAAGGGGTAAGTTTTTACACCAAGTGGAGGGGTTAGGTTTTACACCGATCAAGGGATAAGGTTTCACACCAGGTCGAGGAGTAAGGTTTTAATAGGAACAAGGGGTTAGGTTTTACACCCGATCAAGGGTAAAAGTTTTATGGGTCAAAGTTTTACTCAGGACTAGGGGTAGGGTTTGATAAATGTGCGATACCTTCAGTAAGGTCCCGATCAACCTGAGCATTTTCTCTCCATTTCAAATAAATACTGTAGCGTTTACTTTGCTAACGGTTCTGCCACTTTTGACATTCTGGATTCTGGAGTCTGCTGAAGGTAACGCTTCGCTAGTTTTGGGGGCTAAGCGACGCTGACGCTGACTGATTAGGGATTTGATACAATATATGGAAACAACTTATCAATTTTTCTTATAATTTCTACTATTCATTGCTTAGTTATTGCTAAACTCATTACTTTAATCGTGTCAAAGTAGCTTCCTCACTCCGGGTTTTCTGTCCGTCATGTCTTAGTGTTAGCCTTTGCCCTTTATTATTTATTCCACTTATGCCGATTTCTCTCATCAGTGCCAATTGTTGCTACAGTAACCCTTCATATACCATATTACATTCTGTTAATGTTCATTATCCAGTCATACTTCACAACGTTATTACGATTTATTAAAATTTTCGGTCTTACAGTAAAATACAGAAGGTACCAGTGTTAGCCATAGTTTGTGTCTAGTTTCCTCTAACAAATGACCATATGATCTTATGCAAGACTTTTAACTCTCTCTCTCTCTGCGTTATATTCCAGTCTTCGGTACTACATCTACAAGACCTACAAGACTCTGTATTACAAGACCGTAGGGATGAAGTGTGACCCCGGCTGCCAGTGTGTCCAGAGAGTGTCTGTGGGTCCACTTCCGATACTCTTCCTGTCGTCCAACGCCACGACGTCCAATGTCACTACGGCCACATCCACAACCCCGGGCGGAAACTAGTCCGACTAAAAATCACCACCAACACATCGTCATTCCCCGACCTTGTCTCGGAATAACACGAGTTGGTCACGAATGTAGTAATCTCCCAACGTTCCAAGTTCCGTATCTCGTCAAATCAAAACCTAACTCGAAATTCCAACGGTATCCCACAGTCGTCATCTTAGGGTAACTTCAGCGAATTCAAAACGTTGCAACGCCTCATTACTCGTTCTAGATGCTCTGACAACCTATCTTCAACCCTGAGATCCCTCCACTGGTTACCCATCAAACAACGCATTGAATACATAATATTCTTCTGACTCACAACTGCATCTATGAGAACGACATGTGTATCTATTTCAAAGACCTCATTACAATTCCGACCTTTTCGTTCTGTTGACCAGTTCCTCCTATTAACTCCACTCAGCAAAATAAGCATGGTGACAGAGCTTTCTCTTCTGCAGCTCCCAACCTCTGGAACAGTCTTCCCCTATCTCTAAGATCACTAATGGCAACAACAAACTTCAAATCAGCTCTAAAAACATATCTCTTTCTTCAAGCATACCTAAACTATCTTCTTGTATTTCTGTTTATACAACATGATGTTTACTTAGTACAGCGCCACTGAGCATCATTTACTGGTGGAGTTAAGACACTATAGAAATGCTTTATTGTTGTGTTTTACAGATTAAGATGAAAAATGCAGACAGCAGAGAGGGTTCGGTTGATCCTGGCACAGTCAGGCTGGTAAGGTTCATCATGAGCTCAGGGCCCTTGCCCCTTCTACACGCAGCCCAGACAGCGAATGGGACTTCTCCCAGGAATCACTGCCTTGTCGAACCCACCAAGAACTTTCCGGAGAACATGTAGACTCCCCAACACTGCAGACTTTAGTCTGTCTCACGGTCCCTGAACCACATTATTTTTCCTACTGCCTAGCCCTCTCTGCAGTGCTAAAGTCCTAAATGAAGCATGTCTAGATTTCCTCAGATTCTGAATCTCTGGTCTGTCTTGGGCTCCTTTTCAATTTTATTATTATTGGATATTTATACAGCGCACATATCCACGCGCTAGTTCATGCTCAAGGCGCTGGTATATTTTCCTCGATCATTGGATGTCAATCTCAACGGCCCATCTTATTATCAATCTCAACTTCTTGGAGAGTATACAACTCTTGCTGCCACAAGGCGCACCGAGTTATTGCGACTTTCTCGCCCTTAGAAGGTACCCATTCTCAGCTGGTGGACTGGGACACATAGCCACAGTACTTTGTCCAAGTTTACTGCACATTGCTGTTCCCACAACTAGGTGTTTGTACGTATTCATGTGGCCACCATCTGGTCATATACCAACGAATTCGTGGGCACAGGGGTGTGTACTGTACACTAGGAGGTGTGACAACACTGAAAGAGTCTGCATACAAAGTTGACTCCAAGGTTTTTACACCCGGCCAATTTAAATAGGTTTGCTAATTACTATCAAAATTATATATATTCAGAGACTAAGCGTTAGTCTATGCAACCTTCTGCATTACCCAGAGTGTCAGAAGGGTTGTGCTCCCGCTGGGGCACTCTTCTGATCTTATTATTGCATCGCAGAACTCACCGTCTGTCTCTGTACTGTCCTTGCAGCTAACAGTAACACCTGTCGGTGCACCAGTTGTGGGATGGAACGCTGTTGTCCAAGTACGAATTTCGAATTAAGACCTTCAGACGCAAAAACTGAATATAAAGCATTGCCTTTGACGCGTGATCAATGTCAAATAGAAGATGAACGTCATGAACTTTAATGATGCGTTAGCCGCCATCACCATTTGAGAAGTAAATATCTGTCACATAAATTCTATTTGTACCCTACCTATACCTAACAGAAGTGTAATATCTGGTAGTTTGAAAAGTATCCATGGTTACAGACATACCTTTACTTATAAAGCAGTGCAGTGCACTTGCATAAAATAATATATGATTGTATAGTATAATGTTTTAAACATTCTCACTGAATATTCTGTATACATTTGATAAATATCAGATTATATTATATATTTTCTTTTTGCTTTTTGTTTTACAGTATTTCAGCGTCTCTGTTAATACCTTATTTAACAACAATTCTGTATTTTGGAATTGAAAATTTAATGCAAACAAAATTAATATATATATATATTTACCAATGTATCTACGGCCTCCGTACGCGTGTTTTTCTTGAAACCTTTCATTTCTCATAATAAAATTAATTTCATACACGTTGTGTTCATTCATTTACGTATTTACAAATAATTAAGTGCTGAAGACGTAATAAATAGCCCATGGAATACTGTAAGGGATTCTTGTATTCTCGCATCCTTACATCTAGTTGATTTCATGAGATCGAGGCGAGCATGTCCCTGACAGAATTTCATACATGCCCGCTGACCAGCATGGCCTGGCGAAACACCTGTGTCTAAATGGATTTAGACATATTCGTAATAAGTTTAATTGATCCAGTACATCACGGATCGGGTGTTCACAAGACGAGATCTGGCTGACTGGTGTTAGGGCGTTGGCCCTGGGCCCTGTCATTGCCCATTAACCCAGTTTATGCTGGGCAAGGCGCAGGTGTAAGCACCTAACCTTATGTTTGTGGTAAGAGTCGACTAAATACATGCACAGGACTCCACTGTGGGCGATCAGGTTCAATGACTTAGACAATGGGGATTTTGCTCCTTCCTTTGGCACGTTAACGGCCTTTGTGATCGGTTGCATCAACACACTTCAGCAGATGTCTCAGAAGCGCGCGGAACCATAAGACATACTGCATTACCAAAATAACTGGTTGAAGCGCACATAAAACTACTCACGATTTACAATGGGAGTGAGTGAGTTTAGTTTTACGCCGCACTCGATTTACGCAATTCGGATACGATGACATGTGTCAACGAAGTCAGCGAGCCTGACCACCCGATCCCGTTGTCGCTTTTTTCGACAAGCATAGGTTACTGAAGATCAATTCTAACCCGGATCTTCATGGGTCCGATTTACAATGGGTTTCTATGTTTATTTACACATTTCAGAAAATAGCATAGACTTGTTTGAGACATGCTCATTTTGTGTTATTATAAATGTGATAAATTTTTATCTTTTACTAAATTTTGTACATAAGAAGTGATAAAACAGTTCTTGTAAAACAGTAACCTCCATTTACAAAACATACAATCCCCCGTCATTATCTTTCCTCACAAGGTGTGTTAGGTTATCTCCAAGTCTCTATATGTAAACAAAATTTTCTACATCTGAATTAAGCTTCAGATGATATAATGGACTAGAAAGGTAACTCAACAGGTAGAACTGGTGCGTTTGGATAGCCTAGTGGTTAAAAGCGTCCGCTCGTCACCCGAAAACCAGGGTTCGATTCCCCATATGGATATAGTGAGTGAAGCCCATTTCTGGTGTCCCCCCGCCGTGATATTGCTGGAATATTGTTAAGAGCGGCGTGAAACTAAACTCACTCACTCACTGTAGGTAGAACTGACCTCAAGCGTTTGTGATAAGGAGGAGATGGGCTGCCAGTAGATTATATAAAGCTAGCCTCAGACTGGACAGGTCCACATTTTCACAACATGATCAACACTCAGGTATGCAGCTTATACCGACAGTCCAAATATGCACTGTTCATGCCCATGAGGAACACGAAACTACAAATACAGGTATTTCCCGGACCAGTGAGTCATAATCATACGACAGAACAGGTTTTTTTATAACTCGTCGCGTTTCACACCACCCGGACGCTATTTGTTATAGTTTAACGAATAACACCCGCGACAGTGATGGAGAACGTTCACTTGCTATTGACACTACTTGGTAAGTAACTTGTGTTAAACTTTATACGGGTAGGCTCAGTTCAATTGTTAAGGCTTGGCCAAATCAGTAATGGCGTACCCTTGTTATGGTATTACTGAAATATCAATTAACATGCAAATGTTCTCCAACTCTATTACTGAGATCAATACAAGTTAGGAATGCCTGTTTACCTAAACATACGTGAAGGGGAAACAGTGTCAGAAGGTATTGGAATCAGTGTTTCCAAACCGAAGATGATAGTGAGTGAGTTGGGTTTTACGCCGCTTTCGACAATAACCAGCGATATCACGGCGGGGTACATCAGAAATGGGTTTCACACATTGTACCTATGTGAGAAATCGAACCCGGATCTTCGGAGTGACGAGCAAACGCTTTAACCACGAGGCTACTCAGCCCGTCCCCCGAAGCTGATAACAGGTGTCCCCCATGTTATGTGGGATTCTGTTCTACTGTAGGTATATGTGTGCAGATTGGACATTGGGCATGTATTTCTGAATTATAAAGTATCCTTCCTCTTTTCGAGGCTATACGTATAACACGGACATTATTCCATAGCCGTAAACGTCCAGTTTTAGTCCGTTTGACTTCAATTGAGACCGATGAATTGCTCACTAACACAAAATCTAATAAATGCAACAAAATGAAATTTTGCAGTAACATGAACTCGACAGGTGTGCGAGTTGTGCGTATGAAATTGAAATTTCACTGCACACGCTTGTTGATTACTTGGCTGTTCTACCAGCAAGTGGTCCTCCCTCGTAAGAAATAGCGAAAAGTGACAACAAAATAATGATCGTTTGTTAAACAACATTTTTATTCGGATGTCCAAAATTATGAGACAAATCATCAGAGTTGGTCTATCGATTTCATGTGACTGTGTCTGGTTAATTGACTGGATGTAAGAGATCCCAACAAGCATTTCCAACACATGGAAACATGTTCTTATCCTATGTCTAAATCCACAGTAAATGAAAAAATAAATATAAAGAAAATATATTTTCAAGTAATCATAAGGCCTAATGCATAAATATTTATGTCCGTTTTCAGCTGTTGGACTGACTATATCTTGCCCACTGGAGAACCACTGCGAATATGATGTCTGCGACAACAACACGGGCTTCTGTGTACATGGATGTAAGGAAAGTTGGAACGGACCGAAATGTGACACCCAAACAATATGTCCAAACTGTCAATGGGGTTACTGCAACGCGACGAGGGTGTGCCTCAGAGGCTGCTATCCTGGTTTCTATGGTGACAAGTGCAACAAGTCATGTCATGCGCATTGTATAAATAAGTGTGACTTCAATACCGGTATTTGCTTGGATGGTTGTAAGCAGGGTTGGTACGGACCATACTGCACTAGGAAATGTGGAGGTGGCTGTTTTCAAAACTCGTGTCATCGGTGGCATGGCAACTGTCAGTGCCAGTCGGGATGGTATACAGAACGATGTAGTCAGGAATGTTTTGGTTGTCTTTCTTGACAGAGCCTGTGACCATCTTAACGGCAGATGTAGAACAGGATGTAAACCTGGTTGGACTGGCATTACGTGTTCCACCAACATTTGCAGGAACTGTGTTAACAGCACATGTCCGTCGGGGACTTACGGTTCGAGGTGTCATGGCTGCGTTTCCGGTTACCGTGGTCAAACGTGTGAAGAAAAATGTGCAGACAACTGCGCTGTCTGTTCACAATTCGGTAACATATGTAGTGAGTGTAAACAAGGGTCATTGTGTATCACAGCTCCAACAACATTTGCTTCAAACACTGTCAGCACATCCGGTGACTTCAGCATCAACATCACAGTGACGTCAGAGGTTTGGACGTCAATTTCCAGTATTGGCCTTTCAACTGTGGTCCATCATTCAGCAACCAGCTGGAAGACATGTGAGTTTCTAAATTTGTTGGGCAAGCTTATATTTACTCTGGACATGGAAATTGTTAGTGATCCCATGGTATTTTATTGGCCAACAAAGAAAGTTTTCCGTTAAGGTTCCCATCAACCACCTGGCCTCCAGTTGTCAGTGTATTGTCAACTGCGTGCTGCCAGCGAGCTGTAAGTAGGATGTTTGTTTAGCTGGAGACTGACACGTGCCCCTCATGTCGGATTATGTGGTGATCACTAATTAGTTATCCAGTCTCTTTTGTTAAGTAATTTACTTCCAGGGACCGTGAGAAGACGTTTAGTTAAGCGGTATTGTTTACTTATCCGAGTTTAGTTAACCAGACTCTTATAGTGATAATTAATGAAGAAATTTGCCGGGACCAAAGAAAAGTGTTATCAGGTCTGTTTAGTTAAGCGGTCTTTACTTAGGCGGTTTCAACTGTACATATACACGCCCACTAGCGGAGAGCTGTTTCCCGATTAGCTGAAAATGGGGTGGGCGGTGCTTCAGCTGGTTTTACTACGCTCGTTAGTGTAACTCATTGTGAAACGTTATTTACAGTTGTTCAGTGGTGGGGGCGTGACCTAAATATTTTAGTTTCATGAAAACAGAAACTAACAAATCGCTAGGTTAGCCAGTAACATATTACTTTAAAATTGATTAGATATATTTATATGAGTTTCATTATTTGTCAAAAGAAAGTTATATCATAGGAGTCTCGCTGGACTTGCTTCCACGCAACTATTTACACCGCATGGAGGTCTATCCTGCTCTACTTTATTCATTGTATTAAATTTGTCTTACTAGAATATAAATAGAAATGTCTCGGTGACATGTTATACATTAACTTATTGCTCATTTCAGTCTCTTCTTCCGGCATTAGAAGGATGAGTTTCATTTTCGCTTGTGTCCTCTTGGCCTTTGCAGTGTGTGTCACTGCATGGTGTGCCCGGGAAACGTGGTGAGTGAGTGAGTGGGCTGGTGTGTGAGTGTGTGACAAAGGTAAGTGTCATTCAACAGAACATTTCTCTATACGTGACAACCGTCCACACGTGAAGATCCCGTTTAGAATTGGTCTTCTTACCTCTTTGTCGTAATAGGCGACTAATGGGATCGGATTGTCTTGCTCGCTGACTTGGTTGACACATGTCATCGTATCCCAGTTGTGTAGATCGATGCTCATTTTGGTGATCACAAAATTGCCTAGTCCTGACTCGACTATTTACAGACCGCCACCATATAGCTGGAATACTACCAAATCTACTAACGACAGTCGTTATTCTGGACTTTGTTAATTCACATCCCTCACTTCCGACCGATTATATCTGTCTCTACATACATTAATCAAGGGAACATTTACCCGTACGTGCATAACATGGTTATTCACGACATTTTTATTCCGCAACCCTGTCTTCCGGCAGATTACATTTCTCTGTATAGATATTAATCAAAGGAACTTTTCTCCGTACGTACGTGCCTTTTGTTATTCCTTAAATAGTAAATCCGCAACACCCTGAATTCCAACCGATTACATTTGCGTCCATTATATTAATCAAACCAACATTTCTCTAGCCTAACTTTCATTACAAATACACTCAACCCACTCTTGCTTCTCATCACCTGCCTAACTGACATTCCTCACCACTGGCTTCCCCACTAATTAATCCCCCACCACCTTGGCTTCTGCGTAATTAACTTACATTCACCAATTGCCATGGTAATCACACTCATCTCATTCATGTTATCTTAGCTCATCATCATGTCATTGTAGCTCATCATGTAACTTTCTTTGATGCTTTGTTTCCCCACCATTGTTATTGTTATCGCATTATCTTATCTTGTCTATAAACTGGTGTACCCCATCATTCCCCTATATGCTTGAAAACGTTATAAGAATCTATACCGAAACGTCGCTATTGTCAAAATAAAGAAGTTGATGATCCATAGTCTTGTCACATCTAAATACACGGACAACATCCGAGTTAATGGAATACTCTACATCTGTTTCAGGAGACAAAGGAAACCAAAAACAAGAACCGGTTTGGATACCTGGAGCTTCTCAGTGGATAGTGTACCCAGGCATTCTCAATCCGGTGTAACGCAGTTACAAGAGGCTAACCTTTACTATGACGGCACCAGACTTGACAGCAGAAACCATGACGAGGGGCGATATCACGACAGCCCAGTTGGTTATGAGTCTCTCAGATATATTTCAGATAACATTGACGTGGATCTGCAATACTGAAATAGTTCCAGTTCCGGTCGTGGAGGCAGCAACAGTCCTGAAGAATCTTTCAGACGCTGAAGAATTTCACTGATGTATGATCGTTTGTGTGTTGTTTAATGCAGCACTCAGCAATATTCCACCTATTGACAGCGGTCAGTAAATAATTGGGTCTGGACCATACAATCCAGTGATCAACAACATGAGCATCGATCTATTCAATTGGGATACGATGACGTGTCAACTAAGTCAGTGAGCCTCACCACCTGACCCCGTTAGTCGCCTCTTTCGACAAGCATGGATTACTGAAGACCATTTTAACTCGGAGAATCACTTATGCTGTTCTATCGATTAACATTGATTGTATCACCCCTGTTTCATTTTAGATAGTGCTATAATAGATTAGCATAGTTTTGAAAGGTGAAGTGATGTGTAATTTCGCGAGTATCGTCGGCACTTTGGTGAGGTAGAGATTATTTCATTTATTCCCTTAGGTACCTAAACTGAAAATACCTGAATAATGACATCACTGTCAAGGCAAATCGGTGAGTGAGTGAGTTTAGCTTTACACCGCTTTTAGCAATATAAGTATTTTATTGTACTGTAGCGTATCTTTTAGCGTCTTTTGCTTTGATGCCACCAGGGATCGAACCATCAACAGACAGCTCTCTGGACAATTGTTCGATGCGCTATACCACAGAGACGTTGTAGAGATGAGTGGGTGTGTTTTTACACGCTATCTTTTCAATAATCATGCAATATCACAGAGGGGGACACCTGAAAGGGGCTTCACACATTGTACCTATGAGGGGAATCGAACCCGGGTCTTCGGTGTGACGAGCGAACACTATAACCACTAGGCTAAACCACCGCCTCTCAAGGCAAATGAAAGAACCTCAGCTTGATTATGTTACCGCGGCCAGCAGCGCAGTCATCTGTAATTCACCGAGAATGGTCAGTTGGCTGCGGAAGCTTGTGGACGAGATCTTGGATACTGCAGATTCGAGTAATGTAATACGATACGGGTCTGCCTGACAATGAATATAGTTATTTTTAGAAAATAAATACAAACTCGACGTTGTAAATACTAAGTGGATTGACATATGTTTAAAACAACCAGTAAAGTTTATTTTCTTAAAACATATATTGTGATATATTAGTATTCTTTATATGTTCTTGCAATCATATTAATATTCTGACATTCACACGTATGTTCATATGGACATTAGGCATTTGTTTGTCCTTATAGTGAGTGAGTTTAGCTATACGCCGCTTTTACGTAGCAATGTTCCAGCACTATCACGGCAGGGGACACCAGAAATGGGCTTCACACATTGTACCCATGGGGGGAATCGAACCAGGGTCTTCGGCGTGACGAGTGAACGCTTTAACCACTAGGCTACCCCACCGCCCCTGTTTGTCCTTATAACCACCTTTCCTTGAACAGATGTGAAATCGTAAAAACAATGTTGAACAGTGTGTGGGGGATGTTATTTTGTATGTGTCCTCTGCTCAACAACCAGACGCAGACGTTCATCAAACTATGAAAGTTTCCTAGCAAAATGTGGGGTTTGACAAATCACGAACTGTTTGATGCAACGTGGTGGACTGAAACCATAGATCAAACTGTATCAACACACAAGAGAACAGTAATATACACAAACGTACATATAAGGGTGACACTAAAGTAATCCTTCGTGTCGTCGTACCAGGACGAAATGAATCGTTCACAATATCAACCACTGGTTTGCTAATCACAGCTTCGATTTCTTTGGGAGTACAGTCCACTCCTGGTCGTATTAATCAGCGTCCCTATACCTAAAGCATCCGTAACGTTACGACATGTCGTAACTCTATAGTTTATATTGGCCTTCGAATGTCGTTGCGCTGCGAACGGATCGCGACCCGGGTCCTTTCATAGAATTAACAATCAAAACTCGTATCTTGGACAGCAAAGTATAGAGTAATGCCTGTACAGTCGATGAAATACTGTTTCTTCTGTGAAGTCTGCTGTCACAGCTACGTCTTTTATGACCCAATCAAACATTTTTCATGCTTTTAAACAGCCGATGGGTCAATGGTGAGATGCAGAGATTTCGTTAAAGTAAACATCGGAGCTGGGACCTGCTTCTCACCGTGATGCCCAACTGACCTAGCAACTCTGGAGTTCACTTCCACCAGATTTGTCAGAAGATCGTGACTGTCCGAATTCCCGACTAGCACTTCACACAGGGTCTTGATATACCAACTACCCGTTGACCTGCTCCTGTAGCTTGCATACCCATGAGGTGTGCAATAACCGATGAGGAAGTCGGCCCTGTCTGCGACGACCTGAACGCCTTCTCCAGCCTCAGCCATCTCCGTGGGCAGTTTGAAACCCTGCATACGAGTCTTTCCCCTGTCGGCTTGACAAAGAATATCTTAGGTTTGCCTGCAGAGTGATGGGCATTCTCTGGATGTAAACTCAGAAGTAATCTCAGATAAAGGAATAGAAACCCCATCGGTGCCGTATAGCATGTCGTTGTTCCCGTGAGTCAGCAAGCAGCAAATGAAGGCATCATGTCCTGAGAAATCGGTGTCTTTGGAAAAATCACGAATTCGAGCTCTTATGTGATCGGAAGTTAAATCTGTTTCTATCATCACTATAAATCCCAGCTTGTTAAATGTAGTATGCAGTTTTTCCACGTCAATCTCTGACCCTGACCTTGCTCTCGAACCTTGGGGTGGAGAAGTTCTTGTTGTTGAGGATGAGACATATCCCACGGCCACTACCTGGCTTCACTGGGTATTCTGGAACATTAACAGCCTGAGTGAGAACCGATGGAAGTTAGTTTGAGTGAAGATTCGGACAGCTAATAAATACATACACAAGATATCAATAAGAATAATTCTTTGTTATAATCCGGATATCAAAGTAACTCGTATCTAAAAAGATAGACATTTTGAATGTATTTTTGAAAATATTAATATATTAGAAATGTATTCAGTCGCTATACATTTTTTACCCATGTTTTGTTCATTCATAGTTTCACATGACTTGTGGTGTGGATAGATTGCGGGTTATGATTAAACACATAGGAACCTGGGCCCCGTTCCTCAGAGCGATCGTAACCATAAGACGATCGTAACTCCCATGCTTTAACATAGACTTACGACAGTCGTAGCGTTAAGATGATCGTAACTCCCATACTTTAACATAGACTTACGACAGTTGTAGCGTTAAGATGATCGTAACTCCCATACTTTAACATAGACTTACGACAGTCGTAGCGCTAAGATGATCGTAACTCCCATACTTTAATATAGACTCACGACAGTCGTAGCGCTAAGATGATCGTAACTCCCATACTTTAACATAGACTTACGACAGTCGTAACGCCAAGATGATCGTAACTCCCATACTTTAACATAGACTTACGACAGTCGTAGCGCTACGATCGCTTTGTGGAACGAGGTCCAGATGTCAATCCCATATTTGTTGTTCCCCCAGAGTCAAACGTCTAGAACCCAACTGTCCACCAACTGTCTTAAAACACCACTTACTCAGAGTATCATTTATACTGATCGAAACAGAACGACTTGCTTACCATTTTGTTTGACGTATCCACTCTTGAGAGTTTCTATATATGCACCAACATCCCGCATATCAACTTCAGAGCCTATTGTTGATGGATCTTCTGATGGCGAATAACTGGCATCATCCCTAACATAGGGATAGTCCACAACATCGGAATCATTCACAGCCTCCCGCTCCTTCTCCTTAGGCTCTTGACAAGAGCATTCTAACGACGTTGTTTGGTTTTCTTTGAACTGGTTGTAATAGTTTGGATATTTATTTTGCAGAGCTTCAATGACGTCTTCAGACTTAACGCCATTTTTTACGAGTTCTGCCCATTTGCAGCTGTTTGAGAGCCCCCCTCGGCACAGGTCGGCATGCAGTGAAAGCTGGATTGCTCCCTTCCTTAGAAGAGGCTTTGCAAGTCGATGCACCTAAACATTAGAAAATAGGCATTAGTGAGGGAGCTGGATTTAGAGCCGCTTATAATAGTATTTTCATTTCTGGGATGAATGAATATAGCGCAACAGATCTCAGAGATCAAACCATCATTCATTCTGAGAACACAACCTCCATTACATTATTACAATCCCCTGAATTTTGGCTATCATCAAACAATAAAATATATTAATACTTTCTGTTCGACCTTCCGTTTTTTATAATTTGTCAAAATCAGTCGTATGAATAAGAGTCTCTTTTACTGTCGAGCGCTTTTGCATATGAGGTGGTTTGGTGGCGAGGCGATTGTGTAGCAAGTAATCCTCAAGTGGGGTGAGCTAAAATTATGATCTTCATACTTGCAGTTTATTTCGTTTCTCCTAGACAAAACAAACTCAAAGTCAGTAGTATGGTAGCAGCACATTTCCGAGGTGACGTAACGTGACGCAACCTCGAAAATATGCAGCCACACTGACGTCATACGTCTGACGTCACGTCGACGATCTCGTGACGTCACGATCTACGACGAAGGCAGTGACGTCACTTGATGGTGACGCAACCGCGAAATATACTGCCACACTGACGTCACGACCTACAACGACGGTATTGACGTCACGTGGTCATTGAACCGTCACAAATAGGGGAATGGTCATCTAGTACGTGTGCGTGCATGCGTGCGTGTGTGTGTGTGTGTGTGTGTGACACCTACTAATGACGTCACACAAACAAAAATGGAGACCATAAGAATCCGTCCGTCAAGCTAAATTCTCAATTGCTCTCAGACGCGTTTTACCTCATAAATGCACCATTAGCGTGCCAATGATATTTGAGATTTTGAAGGAGGCTAGGGAATCTTGTGCTGTCTATGTAAAGCTCTCTACAATACTAGACCGCAAGAAACACCTAGACACTCTTAATCACACGACCACTCCGTCTGTGTAAAGCTCTCTACAATACAATACGGTAAGACGGTGATATTCTACATGAAACTAAATGTGAGGTAGAAAACGGCAAAGCAGCAAGAGTGGTACGGAGTGTTACGTTCTTTACCTCGTATCGTAAACCCAAAGCGGGAACGAATAATAATTTTGAAGGAGGTCTGTAAATGTCGTACTGCCAATGTAAAGCTCTCTACAATACTAGGCAGCAAAACAAATGTAACAAGACACTCAAAATAACACACCATCCAGTTTATGTAAAGCTCTCTACAATACAACACGGGAAGGCGGTTATATTCTACCAAATACAACAAAGAAGATATTGAGTCGGGCAGTCTATGTAAAGCTCTCTACAATACTAGACCGCGCGAGCACCGTATCCTTCATTGTTTAAACCACCCCAAAATATACCAACGAGGTAGACAACGTCAACACTTTTATATAAAACACAACAGAGGCTAGTAAAAACAAAATTTCACAAATTTTATTCGTACATATGCACAACTACATTTCTACTCACAAAACAGTTGGGAGACCATATTTCCCGTCCACCGACAAGGTGTCTTCGTTTCCTTAGTGCGATGATGGCGATACTTCTCCTTCTTATTGAAGAAAAGTTAACATCTTTCTCCATCACTCTGTTCATTATGCGAATCGGGAACGTAGTAGCAGGACATCGTTGTACGGAGCACTCAAAATATACAACCTCGCTCTCGGGCAACTAGCTACTGCGTGTCGGTGTGCGTGATACTCTCGTCACCATCTGCGGTTACGTCCGAAAAGAAAGGGGAGGGGGCGTGACCTAAGGGCGCCTCGTCCTGTCATTGGACGGTAAGGGTCATGACAGTATGGTTTGAGAGTGGTCAAGTGCGTGGGCATATACACCCCAATGGTCCCGAAGCGTAATTGGGCGTGTCCTCGTTGTAGTCATAGACATCACAATACACGCTCGGTACGCTCAGTAGGAAGACGAAAATCGCCTCTATTATCTTACACACCATATGTCCACGGCTTATCGTATATTGCTGCTATTAGGTCTAACCATCCCTTATTACACAATCGTTGTGTGTCAACGCCATCGCCTCTACACCCCTACGTACGTTGTCAATAGGTTTAATTGCTCTAATCGTCCTCTAATACACAGCCGTGAGTGTCGATGCCGTCGTCTCGCCAGTTTTCCCCAATAACTCGCGTATTGTCACGAAAATTACCTCTACTACCATATACACCATTTCTCTCTATCGATGTCTTCCATGGTGTGCGTTGGGCGCTATAATCCTTTCAACTGCTGGCGTAAGGTGTGGTCTAACCAGCCCTTATTAAACAATCATTTCGACCACCGTGTGTGTCGACGCCGTCGTCGCTACACCTTTTCCTTCTCATAGACTTGCCTATTGTCTGGAAACTAGCCTCTACGTACACCGTTAAGTGGCTTAACTGCTCTAATCGTCCCTCAATACACAGTCGTGTGTGTCGACGCCGTCGTCTCACCAGTTTTCCCAAATAAATTCACGTCGCGAAAATTACATCTACTATCTTATACAACATTTCTCTTCTAGAACATCCCGAGGATGCTTGAAAAGAGCTATCTTGTCACGAGATAGCAGAGAGTGAAGTTTAATGTAGGCATTATACACAACTCAGTGGTTCTATGGAAGGGAGCAACCTGCCTCACGGCCGATACCGTTTAAACAGGTGTCATGTACCGCTAACCGACATACTAGTTATTTTATTTCCACACACCCGCTATAAAGTATTCCTGCTACTGATGCCGCCACAGGTGGTTTTAAGAAAAGGGTCATTATTGCCAAGCCATTGCAAATCTCGCCCGTACAGTATTTTAGATGGAGAGGTAAACTGCCCGTCATCTGCATTAGTGTATAGCAGCACTGCTAAAATGATCACATTGTATTATATACTGTCCAACTCTCTATAGCCGACTAGTGTCAACCACAACATGCGACACTTTAATAAACCACTTTTTACTGCTGTGTAACCATCGGGAGTGGAACATCTTGACCTCATGTCTAGCAATCAGACACGCTAAGGAAGGCAGGTAAACATGGCTTAGGTGAAGTGTGTTATATTTTGAAAACTGTGTATCGTATTTTTATAAGGGTCGGTGATACTTTTGGAATGGTCTACCCTACTTCTGACACGGTGGGTCATACTTTGAAAACAGCTTATCATATTTTTATAAGGGCGTATCATACTTTTGGAACAGTGTGTCATACTTTGGGCGCGGTTATACATTCTCCCCTCATTTTAGTAGTAAAATCTGTGAGAATTGTACGAGGCTAAAGTTACACTTTTGGGAGGATTTGTCATACTTCTGGAACGAATTGTTCTACGTTTGGGGCACTGTGTCATACCTTTGGTAGGGGTTATACTTTCTCCCGTCCTTTACTGTAGATACATCTGCAGAAAACGTACAGCATGAATGTCGAACGTTTCGAAATCTGTTTAAATTAGATAAGGATTGAATGTAGCAGCACTCAAAAATACACAACCTCACTCTCTGACAGACGGCTTCTAACTAGCTACTGCGTGTCGGTGCGCATGATACTCTCGTCACCATCAGCGGTTACGTATGAAAAGAATAGGGGGCGTGACCTAAGGGGCGCCTCGTCCTGTCATTGGACGCTAAGGGGTCAAATCCGAGTCCTACACATAATTATACCTATTACATCAAACACAGGCGTTATCGCCGTGGGTACCTAGCTGCGTAAGCGCTAAAAGCCACACATAACACCTCTTTGTATGGTTGGCTAGTAAAATCGGTTTGCTTCGAGACGGCGGCGTGGGAAACAGTGTAAACATTCCTACAGCTTTGTAACTAAACTAATTTTTCCCTCGTCAAAAACCCTTGCTCTTAAAGTTCTTGAGTATACTCTTCTTGGTATTATCATACCATCTGAAAACCATGGAATCGTTTGCAAGCGTATTACTTTTACTGAGAGTAGGGAAATTAATGTGGTTCAGGGACTGTGAGACAGACTACTGAAATGCCTAACTATATCATCGTTAGAAATACCTCGAGATCGTCAGCTGCCGAAATATAAACAATGGTGACCGCAAGCTACCGACGACAGGCTTTGTACACGAACTCTTTTTGTAGGAATAATGCAAACGACCGTATTTTGCCACAAAATCGTGAAATTCGGGCCATATTCGTGTGTAATCTAGCCATATTCGTGTGTAATCTACCCGGTTCGCTTTTTCTGTCCGTGTTGCAAATAAACAGTATAGGATATTCCAATCTCTTCACCCCACTACAGTCTATTTTATTACCACACACCTCTACCAAAGTATCTCTGCTACTTATACCGCCATAGTTGTTTTTAAGAACAGGCTCATTACGTCCAAACTGTACGGATAGCTGTTGACAGCATGGTTTGAGAGTGATATGCACCCCATGGTCCTGAAGGGTAATTGGACGTGTCCTCATTCTAGCCATAGCTGTCACAATGTACGCTCGGTACGCGCAGTTGAAAGACGAAAATCACCTCTATTATCTTACACACCATATGTCCACGGCTTATCGTATATTGTTGCTACTACATCTTACCATCCCTTATTACACAATCGTTTGGACCACCATGTCTGTCGACGCCGTCGCCTCTACACCTTTTCCTCCGCATAGACTTGTCTATTGTCTCGAAAAATAACCCTTACGTACATCGTTAATCAGTCTAACTGCTCTAATCGTCCCCTATTATACACAGTCGTGAGTGTCCACCCCGTCGTCTCTACACCTTTTCCTTCACATAGACTTACCTATTGTCTCGAAAATAGCCTCTACGTACATCGTCAACAGGTTTACTTGCCCTAATCGTCTCTGGGAGGCAGAATTATTCTCAGTGGCATCAGAAGGGGCAAGAGTGGAGTCACCACTGCCAATGCGGAAGAGAACTCACGATTTAGAGCTGATGTCGGTGGATGCATCAGCACCATCGCCACCATCACCATCTCAAGCATCATCAGCGTGTCTGGCATGGCAGTGTCGCCAATGTCGGGGTTGTCTACCAGTCTATGCAAACGGGACTATAGACTATAATGGTACATTTCAGTGTGTATATTGTAGTACCATCCTGAAGGACACATACATGCGACGTTTGACGCACGGTAGTAAGTGTCATATCGGGCGAAGGATGACAATTCATCAGTGTCAGTGCACACTACACCTGTGAGTCCACCTCACACCACCCAACGGTCCTTTTCAGGACCACCCATCTCTCCATAAGAATGCTTTGTACATTGCAAACAACGATAGCATATATCTCCAGCGGCGGTAGCAGGACCAACGTCGCATTATTCGCGACCCCATAACCTCTAGATTGACCTACACCGTACCTTACGGTTACAAAACCAGTACCACGTGATCCGTTCAGCCTTGTCCGACCGGTAGTTCGCTAGACAGTCGCTCTCCATTTTAAAAGCCACGAGCGACTCCCCAGTTTGCTTCCAGCTGTATAAGAACCTTTTCCTCACCTCGCTCCATTCACCATTACCTACGGCGCAGTACGGTCATGTCTCTACGGTCAAACGACCATATGTGTAAGAACGACGACGTGTTCCAAATCAGCTACGCTCTGACGAATGCCCTGTCACACGTCATAGTGGCTCTGCGTCTCAATATACAATCCTCCAGTCTGTCACTTCAGGGAACCAAAAGAGACCACACCACCAACAACAACGACGACCACGACGACGCAGACCACCCGGACAACCGAGCACGACAAACAATGGCAGCAGCACCACCGACCACAACCACGAAAACTACTCGCGGCGACAGCGACGACGACAGACCAGACATCCACGAACCACCTGCCGAAGAAGCTGACCACGTCAACCACACGCCTAAAGAGAAAACTCGACGACGACGCAATGACGAAGAACAAGAAGAAGCAGAAGAAGAAAAGAACCTACAGCATTACCGCCGTCTATGCGTGACAACGAGGACGGCGAACAGCACCCGAGGGAAGGAGAAACCAACGTCGAGATAGACATCGAGTTGCAGAAGCTCGTGGCCGAGTTGATAGGCAGTACAGCAGGTTCCAATACTAGCGCCTGAACAAGCGCACGCCCCCTTCTCGGCGTGTGTATATGACGATTATAACAACGATGATGATAATAATATTTTTAAAAAATAAACGAACGGATCGCGTGTTCCGTTGAAAATGTATATTCCGCTATTTCTGTCGTTATTCTCGCACCCCCAGCAGGGTATGTCGAGGTCTGGATTGGAAAGGGGGTGCATGGTTGTCACAGCTTTTTAGAACTACCCAGTCATACTTTTAGATCAGTTAGTCGTACATTGTGAACGACGATGGATACTTTTAGGAATAGCGTGTCGTAATTTTGGAACAGTATGTCATACCCTTGGCGTGATTATACATTCTCCCAATACTTTTAGTAGTAAATCTATGGAACGGGTCCACGACTAATGACACGGTTTTGGAAGGGGTCTGTCATACTTTTGGAAGGGTCTGTCATACATTTGGAGCAGTTAGTCGTACATTGGGAAGGACGTGTGACACTTTTAGAATAGCGTGTCGTATTTTTTTTGGAACAGTGTGTCATGCCTTTGGGTGTGGTTATACATTCTCCCTACATTTTTTCAGTAGTAAAATCTACGGACACTAGAAAACCAAAACAGTAATACGTGTTTTAACAAAGACGCTGCATCAGTTTCACGGTAACGCTTTGATAAGATTATTTATACGCGCAATGTTAGCGGTTAATTTACACCATTCCTCCGTGGAGATAGATATACCTAAAATTGTCGAAAATTACGTTTTGTTGTCGAAAGGCATAGCTGATTGCGCATACACTCCGTTAGATTCACGCCTGTTCCCATGACAAATGGCCCGAGGGGTGTTGTTCCGTATGAGTGGAGTGGTAAAGCTATGACGGTCAGCGTGCAGCACGCGATAGTTACCAATAGCCCAAGCACCCATAGTCAGACACATGTATGCTTTGATACACACGTGTCTCTTTCTCCCTTTCTTGCCGTGGTTTCCATTTTCAAATAAAGACAATCCTCTTCGGGGTATTCGACATTTTCAACGCATACACGCAACAACACAAATACGGCATAAGCGTATTCCCTCCTCTACTCGTACACTCTTACCCCCTTTATATACTGTCGCGTTGAGAGAGAGAGAAGCCCATAGCGTTGTCACCACCTCCCGAGTAAACATGGTCGACTATCGCGCTGACGGGCAGAAACGCCTAGTCGACAGAATTCATTTCCAATTCCCCAAGATATTCAGACTCTTAATAGGAGGTCCTAGCGGTGCGGGTAAAACCACTTTCGTGAAGCACATGCTAGAAAACGATATAGATGGTCCGTGGCCTTTACTACAAAAATTACCAGACGTTATAGTATGGGTCTACAGTGAAACGCAACCCGTATACGACGCTATAAAAGCCATCTGCGTCAGGGGAGGTATCGACATTCATTTCGTGCAAAAGATTAGTGACGACGTAGAAGGCTACGCTTGACGCTTCCAAGTGTAACTGGCTAGTCGTCGATGACGCGGCAGGCGATTTGACAAAGGAGGACGAGCAAGAGTTACTTTTAGATGGTTCGTTAAGAGATCGCATCATAGACAGACCAGTATACTATACTTACAACAGAATATTTTTTGCGCGAACACCGTTCCATAGAACGATCAGTTTAAATTGTACGCACATTGTTGTGTACAAGAATCCCCGGATAGAAGCCAGATTGAGCATTTAGCTAGACAAATATTTCCGGGTGAGTCGGGCTTGATAAGAGAGGCTTACTCCCAAGCTACATCACAACCGCACACTTACATACCGTTAGATTTAACACCGAATACGCCTCGACGAGTTTAGAGTGCGTGGAAACCAGTTTAACAGAGAACACGGAGAAATAGACGTATACCGACCTAAGCAAAGTGAATAGAATGGATTGCCATAACGCTCAGAGTTGCATTTCGGGAATGAAATGCTGAGCAGACGACGGTCGTGGGGAAGCTGCGACTCGGACCACGACGGACGAAGACCAGGATAGCAATAGTAGCAGCAGCAGCTATGATGACGACTATTCTTCGACATCATACTACGACTACAGCGATGACTCTAGTACTGGTATAGAAGATACGACGACGTCTACCACCACGAGTTCTTCTTCTTCGTTTGGGGACAGCGACGCGTTGCTACATTGTCGGGACGATAGGGAACGAAAGGGTTTTGTCAAACCTACCCCTGCTCAGGTAATGGTTTGGTTAAAGAGACAGCCCGCTTACAGTCTACATAGGCCTCGCCCCGCCAAGCGCTTTCCTAGAACACCCTATTCCGCTACCATATGTAGAAAGGACCAGTTGTGGCAGGCTGATTTGTCGGACGTGTCGCGTATTAGCAAAGTCAACGATGGTTACAAATTTATATTATGCGTTATAGACATGTTCAGTAGATACGCGTTTGCCGAACCGCTCAAGGATAAAAAGGCTAAAACGGTGACCGACGGTTTCAAAAGAATTCTGAACCGTGCTAAGCCTCGTATTTTCCATAGCTTAATGACTGATAAAGGTAGTGAATTTGTCAACAGTTGTTTTAAGCATCATATTAGGAACGTTCTGGGGAAATGTTTTTATACTAGTCAGAACGATGACGTGACATGTTCCGTCGTGGAAAGATTTCAGAGAACTCTAAAGACCCGGATATGGAGATACTTCAACACGGTGTCGCAACCTCGGTATGTCGGGGTATTGGCTAAAATATTGAAAGCCTACAATAACGCATACCACACTTCCATAGGACGTAAGCCTAGCGACGTGATAACTATTCTCGACGTGATAGCGGTATGGAACCACACACGCAGGCAGCAAAACGCAGTCAAAAGATTCCCCTCGCAAAATGTTAAATTCCCCAAAACGTGAGAAATACTTATTGCCTCAAACACCAGTCAGAATTTTGACGAATAAAGGGAATTTTGTTAAAGGTTACGAGGCCAATTGGACCAGGGAAATATTTTACGTGGTCAACAAAGTTAGATATAGGAAACCGACTGTCTATAAAATACGCGACTACAATAGAAACATTTTACCGGGATGAGTTACAAGTCGTGTCGGAGCCGGAAGCGTACGAAGTAGAAAAGGTGTTAAAGAGAAGGGTCAATAAGACTACGGGTAAAAGAGAAATACTGGTTCGATGGAAGGGATACCCGAGCAAAGAATTCGACCAATGGCTACCAGAAAGTCACATGGTAGGGATTTCTTCTAAAAGGGGTTGACGTGCATGAGGAAGCTACCACTACACACCATCCTGCTATGCGTGCTGATCGTATGCTACCTGTCGCTGAAAGGTACCACATCGTCCGATCTAGCCGAGGATATAAGAAGGTTGAAGAACCGTTGTTTGAATTACTGAAAGTATCGCTGAACACGCGCTTGGTTCATACCCCTCCCGGTCTTTTAAGAAGTCATAACAGCAGCAACCCTCGTCTGTCACCGAACGTCAGCGTATGGGAGAACAGCACCGCGCATTATGAATAACGGTACGAAAGCGACAGATTTTCACATTACCCTACCAAGCGACGCCAGTCCAAAAACTCGACCGGATAATGTACAGCACACTAACACCGTAGATTTACCATACCCCCTGAAGGTAAACAGAAAGGATAATTGGAGAGTTGGAGTAAGTACTGTGCAAATACCCGTGACATGGCACAATTAACCCGTTCCTCATAACGCTTTCAGCGCGTATATGACTGTCCCCGTCCGTGAGAGAGTGTATAAGAAGGGTGTGGTGACAAAGGGGCAGATAATGCTGCTGCAAAGGAATTATTCGGTTGCGAGACTCTTAGATACCATGAATAGCTCCATCAACGCGCGGTTGCAAGCGTGGCGTGAAGAATATCATAAACATAGTAATGCAGGGGGGTGGGGTGGAAATCGATATAGAATTGATAACGCCTAAAGAGACTAGTAAATATTTGTACTCCCGAGACGATTTAGTCTACATGGCCTCAGGCTTTGTGGAAAGCGATTTCGAGGGGGTCGATGCTGAACACTGACTGAGTTTAGTTTTACGCCGCTTATAGCAATATTCCAGCAATATCATGGCGGGGAACACCAGAAATGGGCTTAACACATTGTGCCCACGTGGGGAATCGAACCCGGGCCTTCGGCATGACGAGCCAACGCTTTAACCACTAGGCTACCCCAATGCTGAAGAGGTGGGACATGTTTTAGGAAAGTGTGGTCCTAGATTCGACGTGTGTCCTTTCTTGGCTTCCATGTTGGGTTTCACAACCGCAGTGCCCGAGGCAGGAGGCGACACCCGTGTATGCGTACTCGACCCCAGAACGACTCCCCGTAGCCGATACGTGTTCCAATTTCTCCAAAGAACAACTTTTCCACAATATGTACGTCTATGCCGACATTATAGACGACCAGATA